TATATAAATAAAATGTAACGTTTTAGAAATCACGGTCACATGTAAAATGCTATAGATTATCGTATAACATCAATGATAAGCATGCAACAAAGTTATTTCTTAGGACACGTGGCACGCTGCAATCTATAGGCACATGTTCGCTAAAATATTTACACAATGTCAATGGCGATCGAAGATATGTTAATTGATTTCCCAATAATTTGTCAAGGATATGTAATTGCAAAGAAGATATATAAAAGCATCGTAAGAATTGAATCATTTCTTTCCGTATTTCTTGAAACCGTACAACTTTTGTTTAAAAAATTTTTTTTCTATCTTTTATACTTCCGACGATATTTGCCTCGAAAGAAAAATACTGTTTTTTTTTTTTCAAAAGCGTGTTTCACCCCTTAAACATGAGTTAGAGCACGTATAAAAATATACGTGTCTCTTAGATTTTCGTGTTTAACAACATATTTCATCGAGAATCAAATTGGTTTCGGACAGTTGTGAATCTTCTCTTTGTAAGAGTTATACAGAATGACCCATTTTAATCTATCACCCCAAATATTTCCGTTCCCTTGCATTTTACAAAAAAATGTTTCAGACAAAAGTTGTATGGTTTCAAGGAAGCCATAAAATGGTAACATTGGTTTGACTTTGGATAGTCGCTTAAAAATCACATGAAGGTCACCTTTAATTTGTTAAATTAAACCCACTATTTTTCATTACATATTCTTGTAGCTTACCTCGAGAGCTTTCCAAAACACTATAATAAAATATTTTTTCATTAAGTATTTTTCGAGTTATAAGGCTCGAAAGTTACAGTACAGCCGGCATTAACATTACGCAAGTTGTCCGACCGACGAGACGGCTACAACCTCTTGAATGTTGTTCAGGATCATGTCCTGGATAGTATTTGTCAAGATCAAGACCATTGGTGATTGTACCTCTTATTTTCATTTTTACGTAAAAATGAATTTTTAGTGCAAAAATGAAAATAAGAAGTACAGTCTGCCATGGCCTTAATCTTGACAAATACAACTTTTATCTGAAACATTTTCTTGTAAAATGCGACGGAACGGAAATATTTAGGATGATAGATTAAAATGGGTCACCTTGTGTATACCTATAACGGAGAGAATTTTTTCTTAGAATTTACCCTGAAAATATGACAGTCGTGGGATAACATTGTATTTCGAAGAATTTTAATATACATCTGTCTCATTCATTAATAAAACTACAATAAAGTATAAAATAAGTTTGATCAATTTTACTGAAGTTTATGGTAAAAATCTTTGAAATATTGTATTGTACAACAGTACCATATTTTCAGGATAAATTTTAAAAGAAAATTCTCTCGCTGTATTATAATTTTAGTAGAACTCACAGTTACAGAACTTATATACGATATTCAGACATAAAATGACTAATGCGATAACATTTCAGAAATTTTAAATGTTTATGTTTTATTATAATTCCAATTTGCTTGCATTATTTTTTTAATATATTATTTTCGTAGAACAAATATATGTATGTTGAATATATGAATAATACTCTTATCATAGTAATTTATATTTTTTGTTAATTTATAATTTGTTAAAAAATTAAAAAAATATAGTAGGATAGAGCGGGGCTATTTGAGTATAGGGGCAAGTTGGTCAAATGCAAATATCTAAATAACCAAAATATATATAGATATGTCTATGCTCGCGTAATGTAGCACAAAGATAGTGATTACTGTACCTTAATATAATAATCTGTGTCCGGCTGTCAACAGCCAAATACGTGCGCTTTTTCGTTTTTGTATATCAAAAATAAAATTATTAGATGAGTATTCTTTTTAGTCTACATGGTAATTAAAACAATTGATAATAATCAAATGTGTTTTTTGGATATAAGTTGTTATCGTATTTTTTAACTTTAATGTTGCTATTTTATTTACAGTTTTTCAGTTATAAAAAAGTATTTCAGTCAATACCGATATGGGCTTGTTGGGCCAGTATCTCATAGCTAATAAACTCAACTGCTTAAATGAAATCTGTCTTTATCAATGCTTTTTATTCTATGTTAACGATTAAACATATATTTTACGTTTAATTATTATAAAAGAGTAAAAATTTTAGTTTTTCTAATTTTGTTAATTAAAGCATTTAAAAAGAAAGAATATTACAAATTATTATATTTAAGATGCAAATAATAAAAATTTGATTAATATAGACATAATCCTTTCATGTTTTTAATAATATATAACCTCATTAAACGATTATCTTCATGGTTTATCCTTCAAGGATACTCAACATGCCTCATAGATGGGGCATATTGGTCCACTTTGCATCCTTGTAATTAACATAATTTTTTTCTTATTTACGAATTATATTAAGGATTTATAAGTACTTAATTATTGAGCCAGATGAACATGCAACGTTTTAAAGCCATTTACCATTAGTCTATCATAATTGTGTAAAGATTTATAATAATTTAAAGAAAAAATGTCACAACTAGTCCCGCTCTATCCTATAATACTTTTAAAAATATATAATACATATTTTTTAAATGATTGATACATAATTCCAAAAAATATATTTTAATGTAATATATAATTATATAATTACATATATATATATATATATACACAATATTTCAATATATAACAGATATATTTTTAATATAGTCCTAGCTATAACAAATAAGACATATTAAAGAAAAAACTTACAAAGTATAGCGAGTATCACAACTGTTATGGACAAGGCACCCACCAGAATGAAAAAAATTATCAGCGATAGATTGGAAATCTTACTTTTCTTCTTGAAACTATAAACATAACAGGTCTAGTTAGCGGAGACTCTGATTGATCTACTTACAGCGAACAAATGTATGTTCTCAATTTAATTAATTATTATCGAGAGAAAACTGCCATCTCGCTTTCTTACTAACAAAGTTTTCCTGGAGCTGATCGCTACCAGATGATTTTGGCTTCCGACCAAGTAAACGGACCCTTCATCCTCTGAAAAAAGAAAAAATATGAAAACAATAGTAACCGTTAGTGAGACAAATTACAATATCATTTCAAAAAGCAGCAATTATAACGTAAAGTATAACCGCAAAAATCGTCCGTTCTTTGGGTCATCAATTTTGGAACTGAACTGTGTGCCAAATTTTACCTTATATTCAAACATTAATCACAAAGAAGTTTAAAGATGAGATGACAATTATTATCAGAGCTGGAAGGGGTGGAATCGACGGATTTTCGTGTAGACGTAATACGTGACCCCCCTCCCCTCCAACTAACAATTGTCACCTCAACCTGAAACTTCTTTTTAATTAATATCTTATTGTAGAGTATTATTTGGCATACAGTTCAGTCCAAAAATTGAAGGCCCAAAAAACGGACGAAAAAAAAACCTTTTTTGCGGTCACTCTTTAACCTGTATGTTTAAAAAATAAGTACTCTTTCATTGTCTGTATTGTTATTATTTTTAATACTAAAGTCTAATAATTTAAAATAGATAGAGGAGCCAATTCGTAAGATGTACGTGCAAGTGTATGTTAAATAATTTTTTCGTGGATATATTATATGAATAGTAATATGAACGGTATTTTTATTTCGAGCCGAATATCGTCGGAAGTATAAAAGATGGAAAAAATTTTTTAAACAAAAGTTGTACGGTTTCAAAAGTACTTCAATGTTGTGAAGAAAAACAAATTTTTTTAAATTTTTTGTTAACAATTGTTGAACAAAAAAATTTTTTTAATTTTTTTCGGTATTCGGCTCTAAATAGAAATATCGTTTTTCTTCAAAGGGGTGTTTCACCCCTATAAAAAAAAATACGTGTCTTAGATTTTCGTGTTTAACAACATATTTCATGGAGAACCAAATCTGTTCCGGACAGTTGTGAAACTTCCCTTGTTAGTTACATTTCTTCCAATAACTAGTAACTAATATAACAGTTACTTTTACAGTTACTTTACATTTTAAACTTATTTGTCAATTTAATATGATTGGTTAAAATGTGAATATTGATTAAGGCTACGGTCCATTTGAGGCTACAAATGCTTCGAAGTATTTTTTGATCGATCAGTTTGTAAAATTCTTTCTTTCAATTGGTTAATCAAATACTTCGAAGCATTTGTAGCGCTAAGAGTGCGTTCCACTTAACATCCGCAATGCTCATGTATATTATTTCATTGTTTAATATTTGTAATGGCGTTAATTATTAAATGCATATTATTATTTCGTCCATTATTTGAGTTATCTTGCGTATATTCCCGCGGAATTACAGGAATTTTTCAATAAAATTGTATTGTAAATAATTTTTTTCTTTGATAGCCCTAATGATATCGATGTCACTCATATTGTTTGTCATGATAACAAAAAAGTAACTGAAAAGTTTGTTTACTGAAAAGTAACTGAAAACTTTTTTAGTAATTGTAATTGTAACGAGTTAATTTTTAGTCTCGGTAACTTGGAACTGTAACTAGTTACTTTTACAAAATAACTTTTCCAACCCTGACTTCGCACTATACTGACTAGATGGGATAGGAACAAATATATAGATCAATATACTCATAAAAAATTGTATATATCAGATGGCATTCTACCGAGAGCTTATGGGTTGTCAAAGGTACACAAACAGGGGAATCCATTGAGAGTAATTGTGTCGTGCATCAACAGCCCGCTTTAACATCTTGCTTCATTTTTACACGATATTATTGAACGTAGCATTCCCAAACATTTCAGCTATATAAAAAATAGCTATCAACTAATTGAAAAAATCAATGGCTTGTCTGTTGTTGCGGATCACAAACTGATCTCGTTGGACGTGGTATCTATATTCACCAATGTTCCCAAAGAACTAGCTTTGAACAGCATTAAGAAAAGATATAATTTTATCACCACAATTACGCCCATTCCGATGAAAGAATATGTTTTAGCGATTTCACTAATCTTAGACTCAACTTTTTTCACATTCAATGGAACAATCTACAAACAGATCTTTAGTACACTCATGGGCTCACTCCTGTCCCCGATTTTAGCGGATATTGTAATACAGGACCTCGAGGAGGTTACACTTGCGAGTATTGACACAGGTCTAGCATTTAATTTCAAATACGTAGATGATATCATATTTACGGCTCCAGAAAAATTATTAGAGAAAATCTTAACAAATTTTAATTCGTATCATGAGAGATTAAAATTCACCATGGAGATTGGTGCGATGACCGCATTAACTTTCTCGATGTTACCCTGGTTGTGGAGAATATAGTAGCATTATATTCGACTTATACAAGAAACCCACAAATTCCGAGAGATATCTCAACTTCCATTCAAACCACCCAATAGAACATAAAAAATCGGTTATCATAGGCTTATTAAACAGAATTTTGCTGTTGTCACACACACATCTTCGGTTTCACGTCAAAAACATAAAATCGATCGAGACTCTTTCAAATAATGGATACCCATTAAATTTTTTATTTTCTATCATCAACAAACGAATTCACAATCTTTCGAGGAACACGAACAATAATAAAAGAACGTAATATATTTGTAATCCTTCAAACTGCGCGCCGAATTGGTTTTCTGGACTTATAAACGCAATTAAAACTACTGGAATAATATCACGAATTAAATTAAATTGACAAGCAATACCTACTTAAATAATTTTGATGCACAATCAGGCATCATATTAGTAAGATGTTAATGTGCTGAAAAAACTATAAATAAATTTATTAATTTGTATCGTATAAATATAAAAATATGCTTTGAAGAGATTTTGAGTGTATTTAATTACCTTCTTAATACAAATCCAAAAATAATATCAAAATTTTCGGTTTTTTATTTTTCAATATTTTATGTACACAGTAAATAATATTTTCTCCGAGTAAGCAATCAAACATATACTTGCTAGATATCAAAGAAATAAGAAAAGTTACGCATTTAAAAAAAATTTTTTTTTGCACTTACCAGTTCATTGAATCTGAAGATGTTCAATAAATTACACTTTCAATCTATATAACACAATAGCTTTATTTTATTTGGAAAAAATTTTAAAATAATAATAATTTCCTGAGACATAATTTTACGTTGTTGAAACTTGCAAAAAGTGTAAATTCGTTTTAGAAAAAAATATACAACTGAAAAACATTAATTTTCATCACAAATGCGACTTGCGCGACTTCTGCATTTTTTTTTAATCTGAAAAAATTTCAGTAACTATTTTTAACCATAAGGAACAAATGATTTCAAGAAGGCGGCTGAAAAAAAATATTTTGAATTTTATGAACTGCCCTAATGTATATGTATATATATATTATTTCCTAGATAACATTTGTAATAGGGGAGAGTGGTCTAAATCGGACCGTGTTCTAAATAGGACCTTTTTAATTTAAATGAATACGGTTAAGCAGATTTGCGTACTATTTATAATGTAAAGTCTTTATAAGACACCGAACATGTGATAGCAGTTTTACAGTTCTCTGTCATAACATTCATAAAATAAAGGCAAATATGTATTTTCAGCCATCGTGCGAAAATTTTTTTAAAAAAGAAAATCCTTTAAATCATTACTTAAAAGGTGTTAAAAATTTGAAAAGTAATTGATTTAAGATAATTAAAGAGTGTAAAATTAAAAAATATTAAGCATTTCGTGATCACTTTTGCGGTTTATTATAAAATTTGTTCCAAAGTTCGAAAGGACCCGTGTCCAAATCGGACAGTACAGTGAATAACTTATAGGCCTGGTTGTAGTACTGGTGATCGGCTGACTAGATCTGGTCCAAGCAATTAAATCAGTAAAATATCATGAGTCTCATCAGACTCAGATTAGTTGAGTTTTATTGATTTCAATTATAATAATATAAACAGTCAGTATTTTCTTTTTCCGAAAAAAATGTTTATCTTTGACTGTCAAATCGCTCGTTTTTACTCAATACTAAGAAAAATACATTAAAATATTTTAAAATTCTATCTAAAAATCCATAAAAATAGGAGTTTTCGATTTGAACCAGGGGATGGTCCGATTTGGAACCGATAGTTCTAAATCGGACCGGAAAAAGCGTTTGTACATTTTCCATTATAGTTTAACACAAGTGAGAGATACGTCAAAATAATCTCAAGCAAAAATGAAGGGAATTAAATGATCTTTCCAACAGCACCTTCGATTTTACGATCGGACTTTATTTATGCCTTATAGAGAGCAAAAACTGCAAATAGATCCGATTTAGACCACTCTCCCCTAATATTAATTCTTAAGTAATAAATAAAATTAATAACAAACTTAAAAAATTAGTTAATTTTTCATAAATAAAAAAATTATATGTGTACACGTATTTTTTAGTTTAAATAATTTTCAGTTTATTTTAACTTTATATCTTTTTTTTAGGAAAGCAATTTATTAAATTTAAATAATAATTATCACTAAAAATAGAGTAAAAAATTTGCAAATAGCAATTACCTCTATCACATACAAATACAATACATTTTTTATTTATTATAGGAAACTATGAAATTTTGTATTGAAAAAAATTAATATTTTGTTTTATTTTTTGTAATGTTAAAACTATTGAGCGATCTACATTTATTAACAGAGATTTCTATCTTCACATATAACCTAGTTTTGTTATCGCATATCAAAATAAGGTCATCTTAGCGTTCAATAAGTGAAAAAAAGCAATAAAAAATAAAATCAAAGTTTTTCTTTGGATAATATCAAAATTGATTATTAATTTTTGTTTCTTTTAATTAATCAAAGCATTTTAAATAAATGGAATTTTTTTATAGATATATATATAATTTCTACATAATTTTCAATATTACAATTAATAATAAAATTTTTTGCGCAATATTATTAATTTATGCATCTTGAACAAATAATGCTTTTATTATTAATAACAAAAACGACAATAAAAATGTATTTAAAATAATTATGCTAATTAAATAAACACAAAATAAAAATTTTAGCGATAAAATAGGATTTACGTAACTACATTTTTTTACGCAACTTTCAACTGTGCTTTTTTCGTATTCTTTTCTGTTAGATTTATTTTGATAAATATTTGTTTTATTTCTGAATATGGAAAGTATAAAAGAATACAATTTTAAAAAGAGACGTTATTATATAAAAATTGAAAAAGTAATCTGTAATTTTGCGGTTAAGTTTATATTATTATATTATTTTTCCATTATTGTTACTTTTGTTATTATCCGTGTATTATATCCGTAGTCCCAAAAGCAAGAATAACAGGCTCGTAATGTAAAAACTGCGGAAACTTTTCTTGACTTCAACTTTAAAATATCACCGGTTACGAGAATATTATCGAGTTATATACATACATACGGTGTACCGGAAAAGAAAAGTTAGGTATACAGGCTAGCATATAAAAATATAACTTACTGCTCTCGTTGTTCATGCTGAATGATTCACTGATAGGGTTGAACTGACGACACTGAACACCGAGTCGAGCCAGACAGATAACGTCGAATGTCCATACGTTCACATTTTCCCATTGGTTCTTGTTGTATGTCATCGTCGAACCAATAACAACGACGATCAAACGGCAATTTTCCCTTCCTATCCGCGCAAGGGTCTATGACTTTTGAGTGAAAAGAATTGTATTTAGAGTTTATATTTTTCAAATAATACTATGTAAAGTTTATTAAAAGAGATTATCAGGATGATATTAACAAAGTCTTACATATATCTTTATTACACCTCACTCCTTCACACACACACTCACAGTATATACCGTGAAACGCAACTTTCGTTCGAAAAGCAAAAAGAGAGAACCCATGCAGCGCACAGAAACTTGCAATAACGTTGCAGAAATGTTGCAATATTGCAGATTGCGCTGTAATATCGTTGCAACATTGTAGGTATTATGAATTGTAATATATTATAATACATATTACAGCGCAAGATTTTACAAATCTTGCAGCATTATTACAGAGACATTAAAAGACATTTTGGTTTTTGAGTAATGAACTGCTGTCATACGTGGGAACATACGTCAATTACACGTTACAAAATTGTTAATTATTTCCATTAATTTGTGGCTTCTGCACACTGGACGCGGAAACGCTTGCCAAAATGCGACGCAATAACCAATGAACATGTTAGGAGCTGTAAGCTTATTAGTTATCGCGTCGCATTTTACCGCGCGGGAAAGTACGTTTCCACGTCCGGTGCGAAAGCCATTAGGAATTAGGTATAGTGTTCGTTGAAACATTTGTTGTCGTCGCTGCGTGACAAGATTTTTCAAACTTTATAATCAACTTTCATCATTTTTTGGAATATTTAAATTTAAAAAATTCTTTGATATTGTAAAGAAAATGATATAGAATGCATAGAGTTTCATATTATTTCCATTTCGCTAGTTAACGTGTATAAAAGAGGCGTACCTGCATAAAGTGTAAAATATATGTCTACATATGTAAAATTTTAAAAATATATATACCTGCATATAAAATTTACAATTAAGTATAAAATATAATAGTTATAATATAAAATATATATATTGATTAGTTGATTAGGTTTTTTCTGCATTTTTAAAATTTATATCACAAATTGTATTTCAAATTATATTCAGTAATAACAAAAGAATTATTTTTAATAATAGTTGCAAATACATTGCGCTGCAACATTGCTACGACATTACAGCCCAATCTTGCTGAAGATGAACATTTTTATGATGCTAGTATCATAATGATACATTACAACAATGTTGCAAATACATTGCACAATCTATTTGCAATATTACAACATTGCAATGAAATACATCTGCAATCATTTTGCAATCTTTTTGCTATATGGATTTTGATTGATACTTAATTTCATATGTAAAAGAAAAATAGGATGAACTTCCGAAAACGTTAAACGCCCGATTGTCATGAATTTTGGCAGAAATACTATAAATGATGTCACATGAATGCCCTTAAGTGGATTTTCACCGACACGAAGGTTTAATGCCAAAAATATCTACACAAAGTTGTGTATCGTAATTATATATGGTAATTATTTACATTAAGGGACATCGCGCCGATGACCTTGACCTTGACAATATGTTGACAAGGTCATAACCCTAAGTGATCTCCAACTGGTTTTAAATAGCGGTCACTGTTCGTTAAAAAGTTATTAACAAAAAGTTTGAAAAATGATCTCTCTTTTCTACTATAGGAAACAGAAATTTTCTGCTTTAAAATACATTTTACGATTTTCCACGCGAACGACTTCCACCCCATCTCCTCTCCCCTCTGCCTAGGGACGCGCGACTTCCAACTTTCCAAGCAAAGCGACTTCCATCCTATATCTCCCTACCCCCTATTTAGGGACGCACGACTTCCACGCAAAACAACTTTTTTTCCCCCCCCCCCCCAATGGCGGATTTAGACAGAGGCTCACGAGGCCCGGGCCTAGGGGCGCCATCTTTCTAGGGGTACAGGAGCGCAACCCTTCTAGAGACTTTATATTTGTACAGGATTGCCAGTTGTGACGCATTTTTGCCAATGTGGCACCTTGAAGTAGTGCTTTGGAGCACAAAAATAAAATCTTGATGTTTCGATGAAAAATTGAAACCTTTTTTTTATTGTTTATTTGTCTGAAAGGGGTGCCAAGTGTCTTAAAGGGGCGCCAAGAAGTACAGGTAGGGTGAAAAAATGTGTAAATCCGTCACTGCCCCCCTTCCCTGCTTCAGAGGCGTCTGACTTTTCACGTGAAATGAATTTCATTTTACTCCCCCCCCCCCTCCCCATCTAGAAGCGCATGAAAATGGGGTAGATCTTGTTGGAGATCAAGGTTAATATCAAAGTCTCTCAGAAGTAATTTAGAGTGAGCTATGTAAAGATAATCCATTCAAGTGATATATAACTTTATTCAAACGTTTTTTTGCATTAAACTTCATTGTGAAAATCCATTTAAGGGCATTCATTTGACGTCATTTAGAGTGTTTCAAAATTCATGAAACTCGGACGTTTTGACGTTTTCGAAAGTTTATCCGAAGTATATTTGAAAACTTGCACTAGCTACTTTTCTGATGATACTCATATCTTCGATTGAATCTATTAGGAAGGTCTTTTTTTCCTAGGAACCAACTAGAAATACTATTAAAGACGACAATCTGTGGATAAATTTTCATGTTTATCAAATGGTTTCCGTAAATCTGAAAATAATTGAAGAATGTAGATATTGACTGTTTTTTGATTGTCAATCTAATAAATAAAATATTAAATTTATGATTATGTAGATCATTATTATACAAATGTTTTATAAATAAGTATATATTTACAGTATAATAATAGATATTATATACCTTTTTTCCATGCATTATTTGCATAATTGATTGATCATGAACGATAACATGGAAATAAACATACAAATTTCTATAAAACAGTTGATCTCCTACTCTATATTGATGTCTAGATACATTTTAGAAAAATTTTAAGCTATATTTTAATGATATCTCATTTAAAATTACCAAATATTTCTGTTATTTGATCCTTATAAGCTTTTAGAGAATCACGTATGTAAAAATTAAATAGTTCGTAATTTTACTTAATATTTAAATAAACAATTTCTCTAAATTTTAATTTTAAATTTTCGTATTCAATTTTTTATTACATAATTCTATTAATATAAATTAAATAGTGTTGAATCAAGGCCTATTAGAAATGAAAATCAGTCCATGAGATAATGCCTTTTGGAGCCAAACATCTCTGTCTTGCATTTAACAGTTACCACAACTTAAATTCACATTAGAGGGAGATGATAGTCTGAATTTTTTAGATGTGACCTTGATAAAACACAATAACTGCATCATTTATGACCAGCACCAGAAACCTACGTCTTCTGGACGCTATCTTAATTATTATTCACAACATCTTTTTTGTCAAAAGATTGGAGTTATAGTGAGTCTGATAGATAGAGTGCTCCTTTTGTCACATCCCTCCATTCACGCAAAAAACTTTGATAAAATTGTCAGAATACTGTTAAACAACGGTTACCCATTACAATTGATTTTCTCCACCATCAGAAAAAGATTGCACAAAAAATTCAACTTATGGAACAATCTTGTGAGTAATAATAAAGTAGTCAATACGAAAATAGAAAGGAAACAAATGTTCTTTACAGTATCATTCATTGCCGGCATTTCTGACAAGATTAAAAACTTTTTAAAGAATATCAGCATAGTTAACATAGTGTACAAAGGTATGGTAAAACTGCAGAAAAGGGGAGCAATCGCCGATGACCTTGACCTTGAAATATATTGTCAAGGTCATTACCCGAGTAACCTTCAACAGGTTTTAGTATTTTAGTTTGTTTGGATGTATCGTAACGTCCGAATAGATGTCAACACCAAATAACATGTCAACTTTATACTAACTCTTAACGAATAACATGTAAGTTCAAGACTTAACCATGTATTTATTTTTACGATTTTTAACATAGTAGACTAAGTATAAACTATTAATTTTTGTAGTGCGTTATTATATAATTATGTAATTAACGATATTTCAATTATCATTGTGACATCACAGCGCACCGAGAAGTCCAATGATTTCGTTTGAGCGATATACTGAAAAGGATCCGAATCAAGAATCGAAACGTATTATTGATTTGGTTAAGATATGTGAATAAAAAAATCTTATTGCACACCAATATCTTATGTTTGATTCCAAAAAGTATCACCTCATGGACTGATAATTCTATTAACATATACATATAAAATTGTTGAAATTTTCAATATTTATTTATATTACACAGTCAGTCTCTCTTTCTCTTGGTTTTCTTTCTGATTTCAATTTATTTTTTCAATTTAGTTTCTTATAAGTAATTTTCTACGTGACATTTTTGCACACTAATAAACCAAAAAACAAAAAACTTCTTCATTAATCCAATATTCTACTCTTATCGGAAATAAATATAAATAATTGCAGCGATCAAAGACAAGATAGAAATTAATTAAATAAAACGTAAAACATTTATATCATACTAATATAATTTTAGATTCTATAAAATCGGAATGACACAAAATTAAAGGTACCGAATAGACATTTAAAAATTGTCAAAACGATTAAAAGGATTATAGGAGTTAGAAAATACTTTTTTTACGGAAATAAAGTTCATTTATTACAAACATTATTGGACCACTTTTAGATTCCTTGATAGGAATCTAATAGTTGTACCCAACATATCAGTGCGAAAGACTTTACGGAATTACATAGAAATAATTCGTCACATATTATATAACGAACGGATAACAATAATTAAAGCGATTGCAGCTCATGCACAAAACTCTGTAAATCTATATTAATTCTCATTTATTTAAATTCGAAATAGACAGAGAGAGCACATAAAAAATTCTATTTATTATTTGGTATTATTGCAAAAAATTTATCATGAGTCCCACAAGATAAAAAATTAATTGTTTTAATTAACGCTAGATTATTATTGTTTTGCACATGAGCTTGCTGGCCTCATAAACGATAAACATTTGATTAATCAACGATATTAAATAATAAACATTGTCTTTGTCGAAGACGCAAGTTTTACCACAAACGACACTTTTTCGATGGATTCATGTTCGAACCTGCTGGACAATTCCACGCAGTGCTAAATTCTTTGGAATTTCTCAATACAGCTTGCAGTCTCACATGACCGGGACAATGAGAATCTTTCATAATCCACTTTAGTGATGTAGCAGTATAAGACTCGCACCACAACTAAAATAGTGAAATAATTAACATTTACTCATAACTTGAATAACACTAGGAACAATTTTCATAAAGAACTTATTTAATAAAGAGATGATATATACGTACTTGGCAAAAACGAAAATGTTTTTATGTTACATGCCATATAAATATATAGAGGAACAGTCTTAATATCGTAGAATAGGTTAAAAGTTAAATAGATTAAAAGAACAGAGTTATAATAAACTCTAGATAAGTAATATCAATCAATTTATTGTTATCAGATGAAAAATATATGCTTATTGTAATTAATCGTTATTGATCTTGCAGTTTTTAATTCTTATTTATCTCGTATAATTGAATTTGAATTTAAATAAGACAGCAAATAAAAAACAAGCACAGATAAAACTAATTCTATAAACTATCGATTATCAAATCATCGAAGATTTTTTTAATTTAAAAATATACGTTTAATTTGAATCAGACAAGTCTGGAAATTCCGGATTTGTCTTTCTATATTTAAGCCTTTCTATATTAAGCCTTTTAAATCCCTTACTTAAAAAGTGAACGAACAATGATCAAAAATGACTTCTTTCCCATAAAAATGTAAAACTGATAAGAATATGGAAATTGATACGTAAACAAAAATATTTAAAATATCACTTAAAACGTCTTTTTTGCTAATCTCTGTTAAATTTTTTAATTTATTACCTTGAGCGTGTGAAAGCTTCATGAAGCTAAGAGATTTTATTTGGATATACCTAAACATGATTGGGACTTGACTACTATGTTATAATTAGAATGTAATAGATGTTGGCTTACGTGCGCAAAAGAAAGAAAAAGTAACTGTTCGTGCGTAAACTGCGTGAATCCCGGAAGTAAAGGCTCATAACCGTGCCGAGCCTTCCACCTCTTATAAGCGACGACGGCCTCGCGAAGGCCACCATTATCGGCGATATTTTCTCCCAAAGTCAGTTCGCCGTCGATGTAATCGTCGGCCTACACAAGACATATCATTAACTCATCAATATGATCAGGTTATTCAACTTCTTAAAACTAAAAGCTGATTTTTACATAAAAATTAATTCTTACATAGAGTAAGATATAACTAACAACAGGCCGTATAAAACGTTAAATATTTAAAAAATATTACTCTTATAAAACTAAATATTTTAATTAAAATTGAAATAATTAACGTTTGAATAAAATTTTTAAGAATATCTATTTATATAATACTTGAACTCAGTCTTATTGTTTTAGTTTATCACTACTTTTATTATTTAAAATACCGAGTCTTATTAAATAAACCCTTTTAATATCAAACGTTTTGTAATAAAGTTACTAGACTTGCCTCGACTTCATAATAAGTATTATAGTGATCTATGAAGCACTGAGTTCTGTCCGAGTACTCTGAAATGGTTTCATTGGTCCACCATTGCCGGAGATTTCCGTCGCTGTCGTAAAGCCGACCTCTATTGTCGAATCCGTGAGTTAATTCATGTCCAAGTACTGTGCCGATGGCGCCATAATTTAAAGCCCTGTAATTATTTTTTAAAAAATGCTAATTTTTTTCTTTCTCATTATAC